GGAAAGATCTGCCTTTTTAGGTATGTAATTATAGATATGGAATTGTTTTAGGGAGAGGTAATGAAAGGTAGAGATGGTCTCTTTTAATGAGAAAGGATTTTCTGGAACTTGGCACTAGCAACAGTAATTATTTCACATTTTAAAATGGGATCTGGAAAACGGAAATCCCAGTGAAATCTATTGCTATGTAGATGGCCCAATAGTTTTTCTAGTAGTAAACTACAGCCCTGATGGATTTAAACTGCCAATAAAACTCTTGCAATTGAGTGGCCAAATAATAGTAATAGTAATAATGATCTGAAACATCAACCACAAAGGAACTGGGAGCATTCATCACAGGCAATTGCAGGTTAATACAGATAATAGTAACATGACATGCTTCATACCCAGGAGATAATGAAAGCCAAATTGTGGCAATGACTCAGGAAATGCACCTAGTGCTCTAGTGGCCAGATGACTCAATGACAAGCTTCAGCAAACAAGAACCATTTTAGAAACACAGATCTTCTCCATGAACACACCTTTTTGTTGTTGTTGAAGATAGTTGCAAGTTCTATATGTTGATGAAGCCTCTCTGGAGTGAAAATGGAACAGAGCTGATGAAAATAAAGCTTAATTAAACACTCCAAACTCTCTGACACTGACACATGACCAGGTTTCACAGTTGAGAACTGGGAAGTGGCCGATAGAGACTCTAATCAATAATTATCTTTGCAGCAAATTGATGCAATATTTATTTATATATAATACAGTCTTTTAAAACAATGTTCACAACGGCTCTATGAAGTATTTAACATTATTTTCCTCATTTTATACATAAGAAAAATGAGTTACAGAAATGAGAAAGAAAGAAAAGAAAGAAAGAAGAAGAAAGAAGGAGAAAGAAAGGATAAAGAAAGAAATTTTGCCTGGCATCTTGTAGCTAGTACGTAAAAGAGCCAGACTTCAAACCCAGGAAGCTGGTACCCTTAACAATTAAGTGTCGCCAAAGTGATAAAGCCTATGGAAAGATGAGCCTGTAGAAACTACTTGAAGAGAAGTCATATTCTAGACTATTAGAACCAGGACACTCCTACATGCCTTAAAAGAATAATTATTAGGGGACAATAAAGAGAACCCTTCCTCAGAGAGTAGAAGTATGTCTCATAGAAGCCATTACTTAAAGATCTATAAAAGGTATAACTTAAATAAAAATATATGACCATTTACAACTTGGAAAAGATACCCAGAATTTTCTGTAGCCACTGGCCAGTGTGTTCTTGCAGCATAAGACGAGATAAAATCTGGAAATTAACAGGAAAGGCTTTAGCAACAAAATAAGCAAGTTAGTCTCTATTTAAATATAAATCTGATGTTAACAGAAGCCTCATGATACTGAAAGAAAACAGTATGGGGGCTAAGGAAAGAAGTGAAAACATGCTCCTCACCTGTGAATTCGATATCTAAGAGGACAATCAAATTCGATCTCATGCCCAATTGGGTCACTGATGACCCATCAGGAATGGACTGTAGGACTTAAAAATAAATCTGGACACAAAAGTTCTTATGTATGAGCCAATTCTACTTATGTGGACACAATGCAAATTGGCATGACAAGGTATTTTTTTCCTCAAGGATGATACTTAGCAGATAAAGCCCGATTCCTAATTCCGGATTGGTACAACTGCACTTAGTGATTTAGCTGCTACCTAGGTTTAAATCCCAGGTATGTGACCTGCAGCAAAGCCACTCAACCATTCTGAATCTCAGTTCCTTCCCTGGTAAAATAGCGAAAAATAGTAGTTGCCTTATAGAGTTGTAGTGAAGATTAAATGCAATGATCTATGTAAAATGGAAGCGCTTGATAAACTTTAGCCGATTATTAAGGCCAAATAGTTAAAAAAAAAAAAAAAAAAGAAAGAAAAAGAAAAAAGTCCTCTCCTTGGATAACATTTCTTGGTTTAAAAAAAAAAAAACTATTTTTGAGTAGAAAGAAGCTTCTGACTGTTAAGGGTGATGGATATGTTCATTTTCTTGACAATGGTGATGATCACACATAGGTATATACATACGTCGACACTGACAAACTGTATACAGGTGATATGTGCAGTTTATTTTATGTCAGTTGACTCCATAAAGCTGCTAAAAGCAAACAAACAAAAAAGCTTACCTGTGGGTGTCATGTGTGTGTCTGTCAATTTAGTTGCTAGGAAAATTTCTTACCTAACAGAGGCACACAAAGCTGACATCCCTCCTTACAAGAAATTGGAACTAGTTTCTTTACAGCAAGAAATGTAAGGTGCTTCTAGATTTATCTTATGTGAGAAATTCGTACCACTGACAGTAATGAACACATACATTAGCGTGACCATCCTATTTTAATAGCTATATGTACCTGAATCTTTAAAATGGCAAGAGAGAAAATACTCTACAGAGGAGAATGATTTTACATGTGATATAAATATATAGTTTTTAAATCTTACAGGAAATTACGTTACTTAGAGAATATTGGGATGCAATGATTGCATTTGGCATTTAGGGTTCTCGTCGGGAATCAGAATTTACAGTACTTCCAACACAAAGGCAGTGACTATCTACAGACATTCCATGATGCAGTCTTTCTCTTTTGTGATTTTTCTGGCTTCACCCAATTCAATAAAGTCAGAGGCTCATCAGAGCAGGCAGGGTGAGAAAACACTTGTGTTCAGTGAGGCAATGCTATTTATTGAGTGCTTTCTCTATATAGAACTGTATGTTCTGTATAGGGTAGGAATGAAATTTTTTATTTTTCTTGGTCAATGGTGACCCCTGTCTCTTTGAGTCATTTCCTCATTTCCTCCAGTACTGATAAGAAGAGCTGCTGCTAATAAAGAGTGAGCTAAGAGGGTCTGACAAAATATTACTGCCCTTAGAGCTAAACGATTTTCAAATATTTATTTGTAGGTACCTGTTTGACTGTATTCTTTTTCTGCTGTTGATTTTGGAAACAATTATGGAATTCTCATTAATTCCTTAAAAATGTTTACCTTGACCCAGATAAGTAAATGCAAGCAATCTAGCTGAGGGTGGGAATGGGGGAGGATGGATGTTGGGGAGACTGTGTCAGTTATCTTGCCACATACCAATTATAATATCTTAGCGGCATGAAACAATAAAGATTTCGTTAGCTCACACATTTGTGTGGTGGGCTCAGTTTATATCACCGGGGCTCATATATTTTTTCTGTTGTTAAATGCAGGTTAGCTCTGTACCACTACTGATCTCGAATGTGCTGGTTCACATGTCTGGGTGGTGGCTGGCACTGGATAATCTAGATGGCCTTGGCTGAAAGGTTAGGATGTTTCGGATGACACATCTTTATTCACATCTCATCCAACAGCAGGCTAACCAGGGCATGTTCACATAAGCATCCACAGGACCAAAAGAAGCAGCTCCCAACATCTAAACCCATTTCAAGCTTCTGCTCATGTCTCATTTGCTAACATCCCATTGGCCCTAGCAGTCACATGGGGTCAGACCTAGAGTCACAGTGAGAGGGATCCCCAATATTATATAGCAAAAGGCAAGGACACAGGGATGGGTAAAGAATTAGAGCCTTTAGTACAATTAATCTTTAGTAAAAGACTTTTTTCCTAAGGAGTAACAGTTGTGCAGGGTGCTCATTTTAGTTTTCAGACTATAAACGGACAAATATTTGGTTAATTCAAGCAGATTAACAAATTAACCTTCCCATCCATATTAATGTATCAACCAAGTTTGTCAGGCCACTTTGGCTTTCATTTTATTCATTCATTTTAAAATATATTTATTGTGGCCAGGTGAGGTGCCTCACGCCTATAATCCCAGCGCTTTGAGAGGTCAGGTGGGTGAATCACCTGAGATCAGGAGTTCGAGACCAGCCTGACAACATGGAGAAACCCCATCTCTACTGAAAATACAAAAATTAGCCGGGCAAGGTGGTGGGCGCCTGTAATCCCAGCTGCTTGGGAGTCTGAGGCAGGAGAATCATGTCAACCCAGGAGGTGGAGGTTGCCTTGAGCTGAGATCATGCCATTGCATTCCAGCCTGGATAACAAGATGGAAACTCTGTCTCAGAAAAACAAACAAACAAACAACAACAAAAATATATATATATATAATATACATATATTAGATAGATATATGTATACATACAGTAATAACAAGCAGCAATTTGCCAGTCAAGCAGGGATGTGAAGGAGAATATTAGTATTTAAAGAATAATTTTGCCCTGTTGGCTTCAAAAGATTGTCATTTTCCAATGTAATTGTTGGAACAGAAGTTCAGACATCAGTTTTGGTCACTTTCCCTTAGCAAATACATTTACCTATGTCATGTAGGACCACTTCAAGCAGTCTGGGACTCAGCAGTTATAGCCATATTTTTTTGGCTATATTTTTATCATGTGGTTTGACTTAACATTCTAATAATTGTTCTCTCTGGGATTCTGACTAGATTTTAGTGGGAAATTGGAGTGAAAAGGGTTGGGTGGAGCATCAGCTTCTAGCCTTTTAGAAATTACAGAGGACTAATTTTCAAAAAGCTAATTTGATTGCAGTTAGCAAAATGTCTCTCTTTTGAGAAAGAAACTCCTAATCATCTCTTTCTAAAATTAAATCCTTCAATTTCTACAGTGCAAACACGGTTGCTTTGAGAAAGAAATATTTATCCACATATAAATACCGATTACAAACATGTTTCTAACATTACTGGAAGGGCCAGTGCTTGCCTCTTCACTTCTAAAGCAAATTCACATTCTGCTTCAACTGATTATTTTTTCAACAATATTCGTTATATTCTTTTATGATCTGCCAGTACTTTTTTGAAGCCCAGTTAGTTAGAACAGCGGCCAACAGAACTGAGACTAAAAGAAGGCCAAACATCTCTTCAGAAGCAAGATGTTACTTCAAAAGATATTCATTACAAAGCACTACTGTGACTCACATAATCACTTATTTTTAAGGGGGATTTCTTAATGTAGAATTGGTTTCTTATCTTCCCAGCCCCCAGTGAGCCTTTGCTGTGCAAATTCGCTGATGGCGGACAAAAGAAGCGACAGAATCAAAGCAAATATACCCAGAATGGGAGGCCTTGGCCCAGGGAAGGAGAGGTAAGTCCTGATCTACAATATTTGCTCTGAAATTTGGCGGTAGATATCCCTCAGAAGGTAGCAAGGCAGACATATGGCTCCATGATGAAATTGGGTCCCATGAAAAACCCAGTGTCTTCAAAGGGGCAAATGAGCAGCCCTATGTTAATAAAATTACTCGACAAGGAGTAGCGGACTTCAAAATTAACCTCAGTTCTGCACTACAGTAAGTCTTCTGTCTTTAACCAACCTTGAACCTGAAAGGAACTCAGTGAAATACTTATCTACAAAGAAACTGAAAGAGACTCTGTGGCATACTTATGTACAAAGAATTGATTTCTATTTGTATAATAGGTATAAAATGAGGGTATAATTACTTAATAAAATATTCTCAGTGAAATCAATAGTGAGAGTTGAATGCTTATGTTTTGAAACAGGCAACCAAAATTTGGTTGTTTTTCATCCTGCTGTTGAGATGATTTACTTGCATGTGTATATATATTTATGCATATTCCCGTTCATAAATGTTCATAAATGCTTTATTATGTGTTTTATTTTTATGTATATAGTAAGATATTATCTATTGGTCAAAAAGGAGGAAGAAAACTTGATACATACAGCATTTTGCTTTCACAACAAGGACAAGGGAAAGCACTGAACAGTTCACTATCCATTTATCCTCAATACAAATTGGTAGAAAAACCAGCTTATGGATCCATTCCCACTTAGGAATGGGTTCTTTTCATTACTTTTTTATAAGAAGACAAGGAAAAGGTGTCTGAGCTTCCATGAGGCCTTTTCATTATTTGTGAAATGGAATAGAGTTGTTTGAATGACTTGAACAAATGCCATTTTGTACCAAGGCCATAATTTCAACAGAAGAGCTTTATTTAGTATTTCATTCAAAGCACCTACTTTATCCATTTATCATTTAAGAAGCATTGTACTTCATGCAGCATTTTACACTTTAAAATACTGACAGAACAGTGGCAAGAAAGAAAGGAGGCTGGATTTCTTTTCTCAGCAAATCCTTTAGCCGTTTTTCAGTTTCTGTTTCTAAGACCATTGTCTGTTTTGAGTGTTTTCAAGCAGGTCTCAAAACCCCTCTTAAAGGTTATGTTATGCTCAAGTACTGTATAATCTGTAACTCATTAAGACATAAAAAACAGATCATCATGGAGCATCAAAAGCTAATAAAAATCACAAGAGTTTTCATAGTCTTAACTTTAGAAAAGCAGTGGGTATTGTGTTCAAAAAAGGAAGCGGAGGGGGTGATTTATGTGTTTTTAGCATGGAGTCCAGTGCATCAGCAGATAACCCGACTGGCCCCAAAAGACAACTGATGCCTGATAGCACTCATTATCACATGTCCCCTACCAAACACCCATTGATCTAGAAAGACTCATTTGACATTTTAAAATGTGGTTGGATAAAATGCCTGCGATTAGAGATATCTTTGGATCACCGACTATCATCACAAAGCCCCGAGACTCAATTAGCAACTTGCCATTAATGACAGAAGCTTCAGTTTCTTTCTCCTTAAGGAACTATAATATTGTCTTCATACAATAGATGGCAATTGCAGCAGGACACTTCATCTCAGCGTACATTTCTTGAAAATGGAATCAATAAACACAAAATGGAGAGTTACAGCTGCCACCTGGCTATTGCATACAGAATCTAAGACTTTGCTTCAAAGCATGATAAATGCTGTATGTACTATGGTGTGGAAACATTGTGGAGCTGACTTTAAGACCCAGAGGAACTTATGATTTAAATGGAGGTTTTCAAGGTATATTCCTAATCTTTGTTTTCAAAAGTTGATTTTTAAGAGCTATACATTTTCCTGTTGATCTATGAAAATCAAGGGGCCATAATAAAATTTATCTGTGACCAATAAAATATATTCCAAATACATATACACATTGAGACAAAATAGGAAGAGAAATAGCATGCACTAGAAATACGCTTATTAAATTTCTTAGATTGGGGATACACATGTTAATTTGTACGCTTTGATTGTGGCCTTAGAAGTAGATACCCAAAGAATATTGAATAACTGTGTGTCTTGTCATTTTATATTTTTTGCTTCCACTTCCTCCTTGCATTTTACTTGCTAAAGTATATTAACAAGTTGATAAAGTATGTCATAATACAAATTAATCCTATATAAGCAATATTTAATTAATTTGATATGCCAGAAAATTCTGGTTACTGTATTTGATTCTAAGACACATATTTTTTTTGTTGTTGTTTCCAACACTTTAATGCTTGCGAAATTGGTTCTCTTCTACTCGTTGGCATTTTACAAGATAAGGTGCATTTTCTCCTGTTACTCACTTGGGGGCACTACCTACATTCTCCGGTCAAGGTTTATGACCACACTGGTTTCATAAATTAAAAAACTAACCAAAGCCGGGGTCAGGTTCTCAGAAGAGGATTTTTTGTTTTCTTTTGTTTTTTTGACCTCTTCCCACATGCAGTGTCAAGATTGAGACAAGTAACTTTCTTTGGTGTCCTTTAAAACTTTCATTTACCATTATACTAAGGTTAGCATGCCAACTTTATAAAGAAATCTTTTTGGGTGTTGGTTTTTGCTTGTTTGTTTCGCTGTATGAAACAATGGTACACCTTTCAATCCTTGTTGTCTTAGATAAAATGAAAGATGGTAGTTTAGATTATGTTGCTGTGGAATTGAAGATAACAGCACAGACTGAGGCTAATGTTTATTTTCCTCTCTCCTAAAAGACAAGCAAAAATGGTCATGTGAAAGGGATTTCTGATGAAATTCTTAGGATAGGAAACCAATAGATTACAAGCATTTTAAAAGTACCATAAGCATGCCAATTGATAGACTAATTAAAATTTTAATTTATTATTTAAAACTGTTTTTTCTTCGTGGCATTTTGATAAAACTTTTATTAGCAAAGTTCAGCTAAATGAATTTCTTTATGAAAAAAATCTAATGCAAAAAACTTAATACATAGAAATTAGTATAAATGGGCAAGATTTTGAAATATAAATATATGCTAGTGGCCATGTTTTGTATAAGTGAAAAGCACAAGGATATTTTTCAGTTATTAACTAATCTTTCAAGAGACAATTAGAGCTCTGAGTAAAATGATGGAGGGATTGGGGCTATTTGGCTCTTTCTCCTTGCTGTTCTACAGTTCTTATTGTTTTACTTCCTTAAGCAGCAGTTCTCAAACTGTTGGTCTCTGGATCCCTTTATACTCTTAAAATTATTATTTACAACAAAATAAATAATAACAGAAATTAACTCATCTTGTGCTAATAAAAATAGCATATTTTATTAAAATATATAGTTTTAAAACAAAGGCAATTTTTTTAGAAAAGTGGTACTCTTTTACATTTTTAAAAATCAATTTAATATCTGGCTCAGTAAAAAATGACCAGATTTGTACATGTACTTCAGCATTCAATCTTTTGCTATACGCTGCCTTACTTTAAACATATTGAGAAAAATCCACCTTCATCTAGATAAGTTGTTGAAATAGGGAGAACTCTAAAGGTCTCCTAACACGATCTTAGGAATTCTTCGTGTCTTTAGGCCACAATTTGAGAACCACTGTCCTAAAGAAGCTGAAGCCAAGGGCAGGGCTGAGATTCAGCTTCCATATACTAGAAGGGCCATGCAACTTGTTGGTATTTTACAATATCCCAAATGTCAATCAATGATAGACTACATAAAGAAAATGTAGCACATATATACCATGGAGTACTATGCAGCCACAAAAAAGGATGAGTTCATGTCCTTTGCAGGGACATAGATGAAGCTGGAAACCATCATTCTCAGCAAACTGACACAAGAACAGAAAACCAAACACGGCATGTTCTCACTCATAAGTGAATGTTGAACAATGAGAACACATGAACATAGGGAGGGGAACATCATACACTGGGGCCTGTTAGGGAGTGGGGGCATTAGGGGAGGGGTAGCAGGGGGTTGGGGGGATTGGGAACGGATAACATTAGGAGAAATACCTAATGTAGATGACAGGGAGTAGATGCAGCAAACCACCATGGCATGTGTATACCTATGTAACAGTCTTGCACGATCTGCATATGTACCCCAGAACTTAAAGTATAATAAAATATAAAATACAATAAAGAGTCAATAAGGTATATCTATATCATGATCCAGCAAGAATGGGGTGCTGACTGGCACAGAAGGAGTTCCCAGAAATCCTACTCATGCATTTAAATTCCGATTGGTGTTTATGACATATTGGTAGCAAAATGTTTTTAATGTCACCCCTAGCTCAGAAGTAGTCTCACTTAATCATCACAGAGACCCTGGTGACCCCTAGTAACATTGTGTTGGACAGATATTCAATACATCTGAGGCTCTTTCTTACTTTAGGCAAAATATTGGCTGAATCAACCTTGTTTGTGCTCTCCCAAATGATTGGTGGAGAGTTGTGGAACGAGGAATGCTTCAAGCCACTTCAAAAATATATCAGGGACACGAAGAGGAAACTCCTGCTGCTTTTCTCTGTGTTCCCAAAGAAGATCTTTCCAGCGACTACCAAAAAGTCAGCAGATTGTACTTTTTGCTACAAATAATAACAGCAGATCAAAAAGCAAATAGCTGCAGAATTTTCCAGATGGTCAGATCAAAATTTGACTGATGGTAACTTAGTGCCCCAGTAAAAATAACTGTAAACTAAAATAGACATTTACTCATTCATTCATTCATTCACTCACTCATTTATTCATCCGCCACCAGTATACCACCACAACACATGCACAGACATGTCTGAACTTGTGATATGCCTGTTTTTTCAACCTTTATTGAACTATGTTGTAAACATCATTGGATTAAATCAAAGAATGGATATGTTTACACTATGATGAGAATCACTTAAATTTTAAAATTGCTTTATGGTAACTTTCATTGTGGCTAGTCTTCGGTTTCCTTAAGAATTTGCAAATATAGGTAAGTGCTAAGTTTCAAATTCCAGAATAGGGTGCTGTTTCACCACATTTTTATGCTGGGG